CAGGAACTGTGTGTTACGTCATTAACTTGTTTTGAGAGGGGGAGATGGTTCAGGAACTGGGTGTTTTAAAATCTGCCATGGTTTAGTTGTAAAAAGCCTAGGGTTAGATTACATTCCTTGTCCCGTATATATATATATATATATATATATTTTGAAGGGATTCATACGGTCTGTTTTCCAGATGTTTTTACACACTTAACAATGAACTGACCATACAGGGTGTCCTTGAAAACATGAGAACAAATGAAAAATTTAATTTTTTTAATTTATTATCTTCCGAAAATATGGATTATATTGAATTTAAACCCTGAATACCTTATCATTAATACCCTGTATATTTCTCTTTTTTCAAAATTGTTTGTGCATCCAAATCTAATCATGGGCCGGTGTTCAATCTTCAATCAATCAATCAATCAACTAGAGGATTGATTGTTATTGTATAATAGTAAATCAGATGTGCATACATAACAAGAAACATAAGCTGCTTAACTAAAAATAAAAGGAAATGTTTAACTATTAAAAAATATATTCGAAACTCCAATAGGTCAAAGATAGTCGTAAGCAAGGTACTGATGCAAGGAAAGTTAATTGCGGTCGTGTATACTCTGCGTACATATTGAAACCAGTTCTCTCTGGGCGGTCTTTGTAAACAAGAATAGATGCCTCAGTGTTCGTCTAGTATCCGAGGAAGTTGCGTTAAATTTTGATAATTTTGAAAATTCACATAATAGTTTCCAGAATATTTCATAGATTACTTTTTAGAAAATTGATCCCATGTCAGGCTGTGACATCCGTCTTATGTTTACTTTTCCGCCCAAAGACATAGTACACTGCAGTACAAAAAAATGCGTACACCTCTAAAATATCTTTCCTTGCCTTAGTACATTGGTCCTAAGGGTCATAATAATATTTGGGGTATTACAGAGCGTTTATTTATTGGATTATTTAAGTTTTCATAAATTACATGAAATGCGCAAGAATAATAAATTATTTTCTGCAACCAAATCGTTATATTAGATTTACAAAAAGAAATTTGATTTTCTATAAATCCCGTTAATTTGCAACCCTACATCGTAAACCGTAGATAATTCAATCTATGAATCATATGCACGATGAAATATGATATGGAACAACCTATATCACTGAAAACATCAGTTCATTTGAAATACCCAGTTGACTTTTAAGCAGCAAAGAGCAATTGCTGTACAGAATACATAAAGACTATGAAGACAAAGCAGGATAGTACAACAAATGAATCATACCCTTCTAGAGAGATTTGTGTTGTAAATATAATACATTAATATACTTTAGATTTTTCAAATGCGTGAAAATGCTCTTTAATCAAACATGTTAAGCACATAGGTGTCACGTCAGTAACTTGTTTTGAGAGGGGGAGAGGGTTCAGGAACTGGGTGTTACGTCAGTAACTTGTTTTGAGAGGGAGAGAGGGTNCCCCCCCCCCCCCTGTTCTACGCTGATGCCTCAACTAAGTTACATAAAAAATTCCAGTTTTTAAAGATACGAATAAAATGTCTGGTATAAACGGTTAACATTAAACCACACAAATTGAAATAACAACGGTAATTAGCAATGCAGGATTGCCTTTTATGAAAATAAAACTTGAATTGACTTAGTCATAACAAATTATAGGGTTTACACAAATAAATCATTTACAGGGTGTCCCAGTAAAAAGAGTTAAAAGGGGTATTCGAAGCAGTTTTATACATCTTATCAAAAAATATCAATCACAAATATCTTTTAAATTTAGGGGGTTATCCGTAGCCTAGTTTCTGATATAGAAAAGCTTAAAATATCAGAATTATGGTTATTTTGAAAATGTTAATTCGAAAAATTATTCGATTTTTAAAATACTTAAAATTTGTCAACCACAGCAGGATAAAAAGAAAACTGTGAATCATTAGATGTTTTTTTTCTCTTTACATTCCTCTCCCAGCCTACTTTATCGACATCTCTTTTATAGTTTGCCAAAAATTCTGATTTTGATCCGTATTTCGTTGCAACCCGATGTCGTAGACCTTTCATATTTCTCAAGGAATTCTGTTAGATCAGCTAATTTCAGCTTGAAATATCAGACATTTACACCATCAGGTTGCAAATATATAGTTTTTGGCAAGAACTGAGTTCCTTTTTGAAATTCGAATCTAAATTTCGAATATCACACATTTATTTCAGAGAAGATGACGAAACATTTACAAATATTTGATTAATAATTAATTACTCCGTCCAAGATGAATTTTTCCAATAACTTAAGCTCTGGGTTTCATGATTCTAATACAGGGTCAGAACAGGTATATTATATTATATATATATATATATATTAATAATAATAATAATAATTATAATAAATATATCAAAAATAATAATAATATCAATAATTACAAAAATATTTTTTAGGAAACTCTGGGTGATATAATAAATTTCCTAAAAGATATTGACCAGGTATAAAAAAGACAAGTTTTATGAAAATTTATAAAAAAAATCTAGTATGTTTCAACCCTTAAACTCTTGACTAAAGATCAAAGAGAAAAATGTTAAAACGAGAAAAAAAAATAGGTTTGGTTTGGCTTGATTTCCAACAAACCGAAACTGTTTAATTTTAGTTTCTTCGATGGATGGATAACACTGATAAACTAACCTTAGATCAAAATGAAGTTAGAAAATCTATTCAACAGAGAATACATTTATACATCAGAAACCACAGGTAAATACAGAGAATACATTTATACATTAGAAAACTTAGGTAAATACAAAGAATACATTAATACATCAGAAACCTTAGGTAAATACAAAGAATACATTTATACATCAGAAACCACAGATGAAAATGCCAAATTTAATAAATAAAAGACTCAATGAAATTTTTTTTTATGAACCTTAGAATCCTTAGACAAATAGACTTATTACTCAATCTTTTTTCGAGCCTTATGATCATGGGCCTTCGAAATTTGAAAGTTTAAATTCTGTTAGATCTAATGGTAAACGTTTGAAATGCCATAGTTTTACACAATCAGGTTGCAAAATGTTAGGATTGGAAATTTAAAGTTTCTTGTAAGCATATAATTTCTCAGTAGAGATAAAATCTAAATATGTTTCCAACTTAATTCATATTTTTCATTTAATGAAACAATGAAAAACTATATTTTTTTTGGAATTAATTTAGTTTTTTTATAAGAAGCGTTCATGAAGTATCGAGAGACAGTATGTACAATTCATTTGACTCGATTCAGCGTAGGTAAACCTCTTTTTATAGATTAAGATATATTTTAAAAAGGGGATGGTGGAGTTGGCACATTTGATGTAGGGGGGGGGGGCCCTGCCTTCATTTTTGGTTCAAATCTTCCAATTTTTTGGGTGCACGCCTAACTAGGGTTCGAAATTCCTATAATAAAATAAAATTGAACTATAATGACCTCTAATGACCTCTAATGACCTCTAATGACCTCCACAAATAGAAAATATTTCAACTATGGCTTAATGCATATCAAACGAAAGCTGGGAACCCAGGGAATCCAGTAGCAGCAACAAATCCAGTGTTTGACCTTCTAATGACCTCTTACGACCTCTAATGACC